GCCTCCCAGAGTGCTAGGATGCCAGGCATGAGCCACCGCACCCAGCAGTGGCTTTTTAAATGCAAGCCTCTGGCGTCAGGTGCTGTGTAGTCCTTGGCTCAGCTCTCTCAGCATACACAAAGGCTTGGGTTCACCTGCAGTTTCATGCAGGTCAGTCCTGGGTGCCTGCCACTTCCAGGAAGATGATTTCTCTCTTCCTATTACCAGCCTGCCATTTCCCATCCCCCAGCTTAGGAGATAATATGTTATGGTCTGACTGTGCTAAGAGGAATAGAAAGATAATGGAAACATTAGTGACAATGATGATAACCCATTCAAGGACATGTCAATTTTCGGTAAAAAAAGAAAAAAAAGTAAAAAGAAAAGAAAGAAAAAAGGAATAAAAAAAATGACAATGACAATGGAGAAGCTGCAGCAACTTGGTTTGAACACAATGTAGGAGACCAGAATATGCCACCTCAAAGTATTAGGGCAAGATAGATGTACTTTCAGAATGTGTAACCTAATATTGTTAGAGCGGGAAATCGTAGGACCACAGAACAAAGAGACAGGGTCTCTGAGGCTGAAATCATCAAAAGGAGTTTTATTGAATAGCTCGAGCTAGGGTCCAAGTCCCAGAGCACCGATACAGTAGCCTCTATTAGGACAAAGACCCCGTGCACTGTGGACCGGAGCCCTTTATACCCTAGGTGCATAACCTGCCCACACGCTTGCCCTTTACATTGATTGGTTGGCCCCTTGTGCCCACCTGCTTGACCTTTACATTGACTGGTTGGCCCCAAAATTTACTGGGATCAGTCCGCTCAAACCAACTTCCTAAAAACAAGCAATATACATGAGCTAAAAAAATTACTTAGCCTGAGGCTTCACAATAAGAAGGAATGGAAGAAGAGGTATTTGAAGGAATTTTTGTGATCTGCAGAACAGAATCAAGTGATTAAGACTCCACAGTGAGGATGGTTGACTGGGTGACAGCCCAATCTAGAATGACTCTTTTTTGGGGCCTGAAAAGTCACTAAAATAAAGTCACTGCAATAGAAAAACAAAAACAAAAAATAAACAACCCCTAAATCTCACCATCTAAAAATAGACAATATTAACATTTGAATAACATCATTCTAAATATCTTTCTATGCTTTTATTTATTTATTTATTTTTCTTTTTCCTCTGTTTAATAAGTTTGATTTCTATGCTTTTATATAGCTAGAATGTCAGATTGTCAAGAGAAAAAGCCAAACTCTGTAAAATAATTATAAAGAGATTTATTCTGAGCCAAATTTGAGGACCATGACCCGGAGCCACTGCCAAAAGGCCTTGGGCAAGTGGACTCGCTGTGGTTGGGTTACAGTTTGGTTTTTATACATTTCAGGAACACAGGGGTTACAGGTAAAGTCATCAATCAATATGTGGGAGGCATACATTTGGGTTTGGCCCCAAAAGGTGGGCCATCTCAAAGGGAGGGGGGCGCTTACAGGTTATAGGTGGGTTTAAAGGTTCTTTGGCTTGTAATTGGTTAAAGACATGAAGCTTTGTCTAAAGGCTTGGAATGTTTTAATGTAAGGAGCTGTTCTCAGAGATAAGCCACCGATTTGTTGTGTAAATTGAGGAACAGCAGGTTTGTCTTGCATACCCTTAGGCCTGTTAATGGGTTACAAAGGAAGTCCCCAAGAAGGGAGAGGGGCATAAGGCTTGTCTGACCTTCCTCTTCCTAGCAGACATTTAAATTTTAGGATATTCCTTTGGCCACGAGGGGGTCTATTCAGTCAGCTGGTGGTGGGGTGAGCCTTAAAATTTTACTTTCACAGATAATAGATATATAGATATATGTATTTTTAATTGATATCATAATGTTATTAATTTTTTTAAATATTAAATTTACTTGAATATAATAGAATTCAAATTAATTGAATTCAAAAATCCAAGTTTAATTGAATTTAACATAATAAAAATAAACTAAAAAGCTGGACTCTAAGGATTTATTCACTACAAGAGCTATTATTTCTTAAAATATCAACTTAAGGTTGGAAAAAGTGATTTGGACATTACGTTGTTGTTTTTTAAAAATATTTTAAGTGATTTGAAATTAGAATCAATTGACCCTGCCATGAAAGATCAAGGACATCAGCACATTGGTGCTATCTTCCATCACCCCCTCTCACAGGGCCCAATATTTCTTAGTCATATTATTTTACATATAAAACAACAATTCACAGTGTTCAGTATGAATTCTATGTTTAAATGAATTAGATGATCATCACATATCCTTTCACCAAGACTTCTCAATTCTTGAAGTCTTAATTTTGTCCTATTTCTTTTTTTTTCTTTTTTTTTTTTTTTTGAGACAGAGTCTCGCTTTGTTGCCCAGGCTAGAGTGAGTGCCGTGGCGTCAGCCTAGCTCACAGCAACCTCAAACTCCTGGGCTCAAGCAATCCTCCTGCCTCAGCCTCCCGAGTAGCTGGGACTACAGGCATGTGCCACCATGCCCGGCTAATTTTATATATATATATTAGTTGGCCAATTAATTTCTATTTTTATAGTAGAGACAGGGTCTCGCTCAGGCTGGTTTTGAACTCCTGACCTTGAGCAATCCGCCTGCCTCGGCCTCCCAGAGTGCTAGGATTACAAGCGTGAGCCACCACGCCTGGCCTTGTCCTATTTCTTAATTGGTTAGATTTTACTTTCAAGTATTTTGTTAAGAAGAATCTGAGAGAGCTCTTTTCTATGCATTCTTTTATATTTGTGGGAATCTGCCTCATACATTTACTTCCAAATGACATCTTGGCTGGGTATAATAATCTTGGATTATGTTTTTGTTCTTTCAGAATTCTTATAGCCAATGTGCCATTGTCTTCTGCCTCTGCATGTTGCTGTTGAGAAATCTAAGGACAGCCTGAATTTTTCTGCTTGTAGGCATTCTATTTTTTTGGCCTGGATACCTGAAGTTCAATAAATTAAAATATGGGCCGGGCGCGGTGGCTCACGCCTGTAATCCTAGCTCTCTGGGAGGCCGAGGCGGGCGGATTGCTCGAGGTCAGGAGTTCGAAACCAGCCTGAGCAAGAGCGAGACCCCGTCTCTACTATAAAATAGAAAGAAATTAATTGGCCAACTAATATATATACAAAAAAAATTAGCCGGGCATGGTGGCGAATGCCTGTAGTCCCAGCTACTCGGGAGGCTGAGGCAGGAGGATTGCTTGAGCCAGGAGTTTGAGGTTGCTATGAGCTAGGCTGACGCCATGGCACTCACTCTAGCCTGGGCAACAAAGCGAGACTCTGTCTCAAAAAAAAAAAAAAAAATATGTCTCAGGATTAAATATTCTATATCAACATGTCTTCTGTTTTAACCTTCTAAGTTACAGATTAGTACTTTGTTTTGGGGAAAACTTATGTTTTTATATTTTTGAATACTACTTCTGTTCTATTTAATGAGTTCTCAACTCCAAGGATAAAAATAATCTGTCTTTCAGAGGTTATTAGTTTCTATCTAATCTGTTAGTTTCCCTCTGATTGTTTTAATACCTTTTGTGTTTTTCATCTGCCATTATTGTGATTATTTCAAGCTTTTTTCCACATCACTAATTCCATTTCTAGCCATGTCTATTCTGTTCCTTGTTTTGATGTATTTATTCTATAATGATGTTGTTATGGTCTTTGCTTTCTCATATGTGCAATTTCCCTATTCATCTCTTTCAGTTCTTTTATTATCTCATTTTTTTCCTTTTTAAAATCTATCTCCTGGGCACTTAAAATATTATCGCATTATTGAGTTCTTATTCTATTAAGCCCATTTTCTTATTAAGTTGTTCTAGAGCTTAAAGCACTTGGGTGAATTTTTTCTGTTTGTCTCCCAAAATGCTTCCCACTTTATCTGAAACTAGTTTGTTTTTCCTATTAAACTGCCATTTGAAGGTTATTTTATGCTTTATGTAGTTTTTCTATGATTTGTAAGCTTATCTGAGGGAGGAGAGAGGGCAGAGCTCAGGAGATGTAGTGTGCAGCCTTAGTAAGAATACCTAAGTTCTACAATCACTTCTGAGGTTTGTTAAGTGTCTGTCTATTCCAGAGCTCACCCTACTAGTGGTTGGTCTATTCCATTCCTGTAGGAAAGATAGCTTCAATTCTCGGAGCCTCTCCTAATTCAGTATGTTTCCCTGGAGTCTTCACTGCCACCTTAAAGAGCTGGTTTATTCCATACTTCCCATTTCACCTTTTTCTCCCCAGTAAGAAGGAAAAGATAAGGAAACCACTTGATTTTTTTCTCCCAGGTAATGTATGTGCATATGTGTGTTAATTACCAGAATTTTGTGGATCTAACTGTATGAGTTTTGATGGAACAGAGGCAGGATTGGAAGCCTTCATATGCTCCAGTCCAGAATCTTCTATTTATTTCCTTGGTTGCCACTTGTTGACATTCAAGATACTAAACTATTGCCTTTTGTTTGCCTGTTGAAATCCTATCTTTCCTTCAAGATCCAGATCAAATGATCCTGCCATGATTAGTCCTGGCTGGAGATTACGTCTCCCCTTCCATCTCTAATGGAGAGCTGAGTCCTTCCTTCTTTTCTTCATTCCACAGAGCATTTTTCTTTCAAAGGCAGTACAGTGAGTGCAGTGGTGAAGAGCAACGACTATGGACCCACCAATGTGCCATCTCTGTGACCTTGGCACCTTACCCAGTTTCTCAGTGCCTCAGTGTTCTTACCTGTGTGGTGGGGAGAAGTGTACATAGTGTTGTTACGGGTTTTAAATCAGTAAAAGGATGTAAAGCACTCAAGAGTAGCACCTGATACCTAGTAAGTGTTGAATAGATGTTAGCAATTGTTTAGACTGACCGTGGCGATGAGCGCGGAACCCTACTTGACCACGGGTGCCCAGAGCCGGGGCCTGGCCGGGCTCATCTGCCCAGGGATCCATCAGGGAAGCGGAGGATGCAGAGGATGCGGTCCGCCCCGCCCGCGCCCCCCCCCCCCCCCCAGGCGCTGGGAGCGCTGTTCCCAGAGTCGCGCGCCCGCGATCATGTGACACGGCCAAGATGGCGGCGCCCGGCTCCCTGTGGCTCTTGGCCGTCGCTCTCCTGCCCTGGTCCTGCGCTGCCCTGGCGCTGGGGCGTCTCGACGCGCCCGCGCCCTTGCCGCTGGTGATCTGGCATGGGATGGGTGAGTCAGTGGGATGAGGGCCAAAGGGGCTTGGCGACTCTTCTCCCAGGCCGGGTTCGCGTCTGCAAAATCCCAGTGTGGAGGGCGAGGACCGTGGTCCTACAGCACCCAGCTGGCTCTACGTTTTAGGATTTGCGGGGCTACTCTGCATTGGAAAGGGAAAGGGGAAGGAGCCTTCTTTTGGTGAGCTCTCAGAGAGAGCTGTGCACTGTGTTGGGTTTTTACATGCCGTCTTCGTTTAATCCTCACAGTAGTGGCATCAGAGTATACAGCACGTAGCACTTGGTCAGGCTAAGTGGGCTGTGGCCATATAACTGGCGCGTCCGTGCTTTCATTCTCTTCACACATCAAACAGAGATTTGGTAGACACTTACAGTTCATTTACAGGGTGAGTATCTCTTATCCGAAATGCTCGGCACCAGAACGTTTTGGATTTTATAAAATTTTGGAGTATTTGCATATACATAATGAGATATCTTGGGGATAGGACCCCAAGTCTAAATATGAAATTCATTTATGTTTCATATACACCTACCTTATATGTTAGGGACCGGCTTCCTGCACCCCGCCAGGCAGACGAACAAAGACACCAAGGATGCAATCACTCAAGAGGAGCTTTATTTTCTGGCTAGCCAGGGTCCAGGCCCTAGAGTGCCAGCGCAGTGGCCGCTCTTACAGGCAAGGACCCCGACCTGAATTGCGGGGTCCCTTTTATCCCCCCCCAAAAGGCCCTAGCAAGGCACAAACTAATTACGCGCTGGCCATGAGCTGACCTTTGAAGTGATTAATTTTCTTTGAATTCTGCGCGATCGCTGTGCATCCCACCTCCCTTTTGCCTTTCTTCCCAACCCAAGAGATAACTGGAGGTATGAGTATAAACAGATGTGTGCTGTTCGCTAATTGCCTCACCCTACTTCACACGAAGGGGGGGAAATACCTTTCTTGTTGTGCCACTGAGACGCCGCCGAAGGGCCATCGAGGCGCCCCCACATATACACATAGCCTGAAGGTAGATTGATATAATATTTTAAATAATTTTGTGCATTCCATCACATGAGGTCAGGTGTGGAATTTTCCACTTGTGGCGGCATGTTGGTGTTCAGAAATTTTTGGAATTTGGAGTATTTTAAATTTCAGATTAGGGATGCTTACATAGTTTAACACATAGTTACTGAGCACCTACTAGGTGTTGAGGATACAGCAGTAACTAAACACTCTAAATTCATTGCTCTTTTGTAACTTACTCTCCAGTGGGAGAGACAGACTATAAAGAAATAAATAAGTAAAGCATAGTATGTCAAATAGTGATACGTGCAAATGAGAAAAATAAAGCTGAAAGAAGGATAAAGAGTGGAGGTGGGGGCTTGCACTTTTTTTTTTTTTTTTTTGAGACAGAGTCTCACTTTGTTGCCCAGGCTAGAGTGAGTGCTGTGGCGTCAGTCTAGCTCACAGCAACCACAAACTCCTGGGCTCAAGTGATCCTCCTGCCTCAGCCTCCTGAGTAGCTGGGACTACAGGCATGTGCCACCATGCCCAGCTAATTTTTTATATATATATTAGTTGGCCAATTAGTTTCTTTCTATTTATAGTAGAGATGGGGTGTCGCTCTTGCTCAGGCTGGTTTCGAACTCTTGACTTTGAGCAATCCGCAGGCCTCAGCCTCCCAGAGTGCCAGGATTACAGGCGTCAGCCACTGTGCCCGGCCGGGCTTGCACTTTTATAGAGCAAAGTCAGGAAAGAACTGAGAAAGTGATATCTGTGCAAAAACCTGAAGTGGATGAGGGAAGTTGCCATTTGGATATCTGGTAGTGAGAACAGCAGATGTGAAGGCCCTGAGGCAGACATATGTCTGGTGTGTTCAGGGAACAACATTTAGATCAGCGTGGCTGGAACTAAGGGAAGAAATTATGAGTTAGAGGGCAGGAGAGGTTGATGCAAATATTGTTGGCCCTACTAAGACTAATGCAGGGACTTTGGCTAGAGTGAGATGGGAAACTTTTTGAACAGATGAGTAACATGAACTGACTTACGTTTTAAAAGGATCACTTTAAGGCCGGGCGAGGTGGCTCACGCATGTAATCCTAGCACTGTAAGAGGCTGAGGTGAATGGATTGTTGGAGCTCAGGAGTTTGAGACCAGCCTGAGCAAAAGTGAGACCCCATCTCTACTAAAAATAGAAAGAAATTAATTGGCCAACTAAAAATATATAGAAAAAATTAGCCAGGCATGGTGGCGCATGCCTGTAGTCCCAGCTACTCGGGAGGCTGAGGCAGGAGGATAATCTGAGACCAGGAGTTCGAGACTGGCTTGAGCAATATAGTAAGACCCCCATCTCTACAAAAAATAGAAAAATTTGCCGCTGAGTATGGTGGTGTGCACCTGTAGACCTAGCTACTTGGGAGGCTGAGGCAGTAGGATCACTTAAGCCCAGAAATTTGAGGTTGCTGTGAGCTAGGCCGACGCCATGGCACTCACTCTAGCCTGGGCAACAAAGTGAGACTCTGTCTCAAAAAAAAAAAGAAAGAAAAAAAAGAGTTTGTCTTTGGATTTAATACATTTGAGATCCTTGCTAGACATCCAGGAGATATTGTAGAGGCACTTGGAGCATGGAGTCTAGCACAGAGATACAGGCTGGAGGTTTAAATTGGGAGCCTCTGGCATATGGCTAGTATTTAAAGCCTTGAAACTGGGTGAGATCACCTAGGGAATGAGTACACAGAGGACTGAGCCCTGAGGCACTCCAACATTTGGAGATAGAGAAAATGAAGAGGAATTAGCAAAGGTGAGGAGTACAGAACAACCTGTAAGGTGAAGGGACAACAGGTGAGTGCAGTGTCCTTGAAGCCAAGTGAGGAAAATGTTTCAAGAGGAACAGAATGATCACCTGTATCAAATCTTATTGATGGGTTAAGGAACCTAAGGGCTGACAATTGATTGTTGCATTTAGCAATAAGAAGATCATTATGTTGACAAAAGTCTTGGGGGAATGGTAAGAGTGAGAGCTTTATTGGAATGGGTTAAAGAAAAATATTCGGAGAAGAATTAGAGTCAGCAAATACAGACAACTCTTTCGAGGCTCTGTGCCAAGCCCCTGGGACTATGGTACAACAGCGGGTAAAAGAAGACTTCGGGCTCTCCCGGATCTGACAGTCCACAGAGGAGGCGGTTAAAGCAGTTACAGTTCAGTGTTAATGTTGTTATGAGAGAAATAGAAGAATACAAGATTCTTCCAGGGGTGAGGAACCTGCGGCCTTAAGGTGAAATGTGGCCTTCTAGGTCCTTAAGTGATGCCTTTTGACTGAATCCAAATTTTACAGAGCAAATCCTTTTATTAAAAGGGGTGCAGCAGAGAAAGATGAAGCTTTTTTTGCCTCCTTTGATGCTTAAAAAAGAACATTCTTGAAATCAGAAGGCTGCAGTTTCCCCACCCCTGCATGGCTTTTCTTTCTTTAAAAACTAGTTCTTTCTCTCAGGTTGAAAATGGGATGATTTTTTTTTCTTTTTTTTTTTTTTTTGAGACAGAGTCTCACTTTGTTGCCCAGGCTACAGTGAGTTCTGTGGCATCAGCCTCACTCACAGCAACCTCAATCTCCTGGGCTCAAGTGATCCTACTGCCTCAGCCTCCCGAGTAGCTGGGACTACAGGCATATGCCACCATGCCCGGCTAATTTTTTTTTTGTGTGTATATATATATATATATTTTTTTTCTTTTTTTTAGCTCTACATATAGTTTTGATATATATATATATTAGTTGGTCGATTAATTTCTTTCTGTTTTTTGTAGAGACAGGTCTCGCTCAGGCTGGTTTCGAATTCCTGACCTTGAGCAATCCGCCCGCCTGGGCCTCCCAGCGCTAGGATTACAGGTGTGAGCCACCACGCCCGGCAGGAAATGGGATGATTAAGTTCAAATGGTTAGTGGGGTGTGGTGGTGCACACCTGTAGTCCCAGCTACTCCGCTAAGGCTAAGGCTGGAGAAGCGCTTGAGCCCAGGAGTTCAGGTGAGCTACTGCACTCTAGCCAGGGTGACAGAGAGAGACCTTGTCTCAGGGCAAAAAAAAAAAAAAAAGTTAAAGAGAAAGAAAAGTTCAAAATGGGAAATTACCTCAGTCTGCTTCTCCTACTCAGTGGCCAGTTTGCTTCTAGTTCCTAGTTCTGGTTCCTTAAAATAGGAAAAGGAACAAGTCTGGGACTAGGATGAGGCAAGGAGGTGCCTGGAGTGCAAATTTAAGGAGGCACTCTCACATTTGCTTAAGTTCAAGGTCAGCACTTGCACTAACCTGGAAATGAGTGCCTCCTTAAATTTTGTGTCCTGGGCGCTTTGCTTGCTTCTCCCTAACCTAGCCCAGATTAGAGAAATCTAATCTGTTTACCCCAAATATCTATGATAAGGAAGGGGAATATACACTTCTGCTTATTTTTCAGTTGTAAATTTGGTGTCCCAATTATATTGTATGGGCTTTTTTTTTTTTTTTTTTTGAGACAGAGTCTTGCTTTGTTGCCCAGGCTAGAGTGAGTGTGCCATGGTGTCGGCCCAGCTCACAGCAACCTCAAACTCCTGGGCTCAAGCAATCCTGCTGCCTCAGCCTCCCAAGTAGCTGGGACTACAGGCATGCACCACCGTACCCGGCTAATTTTTTTCTATATAAGTTGGCCAATTAATTTCTTTCTATTTTTAGTAGAGACGGGGGTCTCACTCTTGCTCAAGCTGGTATCGAACTCCTGACCTCGAGCAATCCGCCTGCCTCGGCCTCCCAGAGTGCTAGGATAACAGGCGTGAGCCACCGCACCCAGCCAAAAGGATCACTTTAGTTGCTGTGTTGAGAATGTCTGGTCATGGATAGTTGCAGGGAGACAAGTTAGGAAGCTATTGCAATAGTTTAAAGAAAGGATGGTGACTTCGAACTGTATAGTAACAGTAGAGGTGTTGAGAAGTGGTCAAAGCTTGGATATATTTTGAAGGTGTAACCTTTGAGATTTGCTAACAGATCTGATGTGGGGTGAGAGAGAAAGAAAGGAGCCAAAGGTGACTCCACAGGTTTTGGCCTGGACAACTGGAAGGCTGAAGTTGTCATTTTACCAAGGTAGGGAACTTGTAGGAACTTGCAAGCAGACTTAGAGTGGAAGGAAGATCCAAAGTTTGCTTTTGGACAGAGAGCAGTGGCTCATGCCTGTAATCCTAGCACTTTGGGAGGCTGAGGCAGGAGGATAATCTGAGACCAGGAGTTCGAGACTGGCTTGAGCAATATAGTAAGACCCCCATCTCTACAAAAAATAGAAAAATTTGCCGCTGAGTATGGTGGTGTGCACCTGTAGACCTAGCTACTTGGGAGGCTGAGGCAGGAGGATCACTTGAGCCTAGGAGTTTGATGTTGCATTGAGCTATGAAGATGCCACTGCACTCCAGCCTGAGCAAATGAGACCCTGTTTCAAAAAAAAAAAAAGAGTTGGATGGGCGCGGTGGCTCACGCCTGTAATCCTAATACTCTGGGAGGCTGAGGCGGTAGATGGTTTGAGGTCAGGAGTTCGAAACCAGCCTGAGCAAGAGTGAGACCTCCGTCTCTGCTATAAATAGAAACAAATTAATTGGCCAACTAATATATATAGAAAAATTACCTGGCATGGTGGCCCATGCCGTAGTCCCAGCTACTCGGAGGCTGAGGCAGCAGGATTGCTTGAGGCCAGGAGTTTGAGGTTGCTGTGAGCTAGGCTGATGCCATGGCACTCACTCTAGCCTGGGCAACAAAGTGAGACTCTGTCTCAAAAAAAAAAAAAGAAAGAAAAAAGAGTTTGTCTTTGGATTAATACATTTGAGATCCTTGCTAACTCCAGGAGATATTGTAGAGCACTTGGAGCATGGAGTCTAGACAGAGATACAGGCTGGAGGTTTAAATTGGAGCTTCTGGCATATGCAGTATTTAAAGCTTGAAACTGGGTGAGATCAGCCTAGGGGAATGAGGTACACAGAGGACTGAGCCCTGAGGCACTCCAACATTTGGAGATAGGAGAAAATGAAGACAATTAGCAAAGGTGAAGGAGTACAGAACAACCTGTAAGGTGAAGGGACACAGGTAGTGCAGTGTCCTTGAAGCAAGTGAGGAAAATGTTCAAGAACAGAATGATCACCTGTATCAAATCTTATTGATGGGTCAAGGAACCAAGGCTGACAATGATTGTTGCGTTTAGCAATAAGAAGATCATTATGTTGCAAAAGTCTTGGGGGAATGGTAAGAGTGAGAGCTTATTGGAATGGGTTAAAGAAAATATTCGGAGAAGAATTAGAGTCAGCAGAATACAGAACACTCTGGGGCTCTGTGCCAAGCCCCTGGGACTATGGTACAACAGCGGGTAAAAGAAGACTTCGGGCTCCGGATCTGACAGTCCACAGAGGAGGTGGTTAAGAGCAGTTACAGTTCAGTGTAATGTGTTATGAGAGAAATAGAAGAATACAAGATTCTACTGCGGCCTTAAGTGAAATGTGGCCTTCTAGGTCCTTAAAGTGATGCCTTTTGACTGAATCCAAATATTGTACAGAGCAAATCCTTTATTAAAAGGGGGGCAGCAGAGAAAGATGAAGCTTTTTTTGCTCCTTTGATGCTTAAAAAGAACATTCTTGAATCAGGAAGGCGCGTAGGTTTCCCACCTGCATGGCTTTTGCTTTCTTTAAAAAATAGTTTCTTATCTCGGGTTGGAAATGGCGTCGATTTTTTTTTCTTTTTTTTTTTGAGCAGAGTTCCTTTGTTGCCCAGGGCTACCGTGACGTTCCTGTGGCCATCGCCCCTCACAGAACCTCATCTCCTGGGCTCAACGTTGTCCTGTACTGCCTCAGCCTCCGAGTAGCTGTGACTACAGGCATAAGCCCATGCCCGCTAATTTTTTGTCGTGTTATATGCTATCCTACTATGAATTAGTTGGTCGATTATTCTTCTGGTTTTTTGTAGAGACAGGTCTGTCAGGCTGGGTTTCGAATTCCTGACCGTTGTAGCAATCCGGCCCGCCTTGGTCTCCCGGCGCTAGGAATTACTGGTGTGAGGCCACCGGCCCGGCAGGAAATGGGGATGTATTAGTTAAGATGGTTAGGTGGGGTGTGGTGGTGCACGCCGTGTCGTCCAGTACTCCGCTAAGGTCAGGCTGGACGCTTTGAGCCAGGCGTTCAGGCTGCCACTGCCTCTGGCCAGGTGGACAGAGAGAGGACCTTGTCTCAGGGCACGAGAAAAACAAAGGTTAAAGGAGAAGAGACAAGTCAAATGGGAAAATGTACCTGCAGTCTGCTTCTCTAATCTCTCGCTGGCCGCAGTTGCTTTAGTTCCTAGTTCTGTTCCTTTAAGATAGGAAAAGGAACAAGTTGGGCTAGGATGAGGCAAGGAGGTGCCTTGAGTGCAAATTTTAAGGGAGGCACTCTCCATTTGCTTAAGTTCAAAAGTCGCGAGACTTGCACCTAACCTGGATCATGAGTGCCTCTTACAATTTTGTGTCCTGGGCGCTTTGCTTGGTTGTCTCCTGTCAACCTGCCAGATTAGAGATCTATCTGTTTACCCAGATATGCTTGATAAGGGGAAGGCCAAACTATCATTTGCTGTTTGGTTCAGTTGTAAATTGCGTGTCACTTATATTGTATGGGCTTTTTTTTTTTTTTTTTTTTGGACAGGTTGTCTCGCTTTGTGTTGGCCCGCTGAGTGCGTGCGCGCCCTCGGCGTCGAGGGCCTGCTCACAGCAGGCTCACACTCCTGGGCTCGAGGCGATCCTTTGCTAGCCCTCCCTGGTAGCTGGGCACTACGTGGTGCACCATGCGCCGGCTATTTTTTTTTGACTAGTATAGTATCAGTTGGCCACTCTCGCTTTCTTTCTTTATAGGTAGAGACGGGGTCTCGCTCTTGGCTCAGGGCTGGTTTTGAACTCCTGACCTTGAGCAATCCGCCCGCCTCGGCCTCCCAAGAGCTAGGATTACAGGCGTGAGCCACAGCGCCCGGCCTTGTATGGGCTTTTGAAACTTGTTATTTCTCTATGAGGAAGGTAAGCAAAAAATGTTCTTTTTTCTTTTTTTAATTGAGGTGAAATTCATATAACATAAAGTTAACCTTTTTAAAATGTACATTTCAGTGGCATTTAGTGTATTAACAATGTTGTGGAACCAACACTTCTCTCTAGTTTCAAAACTTTTGAACACCTCGGAAAAACACACCCAGAAAAACACACCTGGAAAAACACACTCGTAGCCATTAAGTAATGACTCCTTATTTCCCATCTCCTCGTAATCTCCACCTTATTCTTTGTCTCTCTATAGGTTTGCCTATTCTGCATTTATCATCTAAAAGAAATTATGAGACATTTTGAGCTTGGCTTATTTCATTTAGTGTAATATTTTCATGGTTCATCTAGGTTGTAGCACATGTCAGTACGTTGTTTCTTTTTATAAATGAATAGTATTCTATTGTGTGGCTATACCGCATTTTGTTTATCCATTCATCCATGGATGGACATTTGGATTGTTTCCACCTTTTGGCTATTACACATAATGCTGCTGTTAACATTCATGTATTCTGTGTGGATGTATTTTTTTTATTTCTCTTGGGTATATACTTAGGACTTGAATTGCTGGCTCATATAGTAATTGTATGTTGAACTTTTTGAGGAACCACCAAACTTTTTCACAGTATCTGGGCATTACATTCCCACCAGCAATGTACAAGGGCTCCGATTTCTCCACATCCTTACTGATCCTTGTTATTTTCCATTTCAAAAAAAATATTATTAGAGTCATCCTAGTGGGTGTTAAATGGTATCTCATTGTGGTTTTGATTTGCATTTCCCTGATGACTAATGATATGGAACATTGTTTCACATGCTTGTTAGCCATTTGTATATCTTTGGAGAAATATCTGTTTGAGTCTTTTTCTCATTTTTAAATTAGGTTGTGTGTCTTTTTGTTGAGTTGTAAATGTTCTTTTTGGGTTTTTTTTTTTTTTTTTTTTTTTGAGATAGTCTTACTCTGTTGCCCAGTGCTGTGGCGTCAGCCTAGCTCACAGCAACCTCAAACTCCTGGGCTCAGGCGATCCTTCTTCCTCAGCCTCCCGAGTAGCTGGTACTACAGGCATGCGCCACCATGCCTGGCTAATTTTTTCTATATATTTTTAGTTGGCCAATTAATTTCTTTCTATTTTTAGTAGAGATGGGGTCTCACTTTTGCTCAGGCTGGTTTTGAACTCCTGACCTTGAGCGATCCACTTGCCTCGACTTCCCAGAGTGCTAGGATTACAGGCTTGAACCACCATACCCAGCCTGCAAAAGTCTTAAAAAGATAAATAATGTTGTTTTGATTCCTGAGTTTCCATCATTGTTTTTGTTGGCTAGGAGACAGCTGTTGTAATCCCTTAAGCATGGGTGCTATTAAAAAAATGGTTGAGAAGAAAGTACCTGGAATTTACGTCTTATCGTTAGAGATTGGGAAGACCATGATAGAGGTAAGGCCTTTCACAGTTCTGTTCCTTTGAAGGTTTTCTGACTAATTTCATAAAACATACTGTTAAAATGCTTTACCTTGTATTTTAGCAGCAAACTGTACAATGATATTTTCACTCTTGTGTGGCTTATGGGAGGATACCAACCTAAATGAGTTAAGTTCTTGCAGAAGATGGGTGGTTTGCAGTCCCATCCTTTCATTTCTCTGTGGCTCCTTTTTTAGGATGTGGAGAACAGCTTCTTCTTGAATGTCAATTCCCAAGTAACAACGGTCTGTCAGATTCTTGCTAAGGATCCACAATTGCAGCAAGGCTACAATGCTATGGGATTCTCCCAGGGAGGCCAGTTTCTGTAAGTCCCTTTTTTTTTTTTTTTTGTAAGTCCCTTTTTATTATGTCTTATCATTTATATGGAATTGATTCTTTTTTCTTTTATTGACATAAATCCACCCCTCCAGTTCTTTTGGGATTCTCACCTATCTTGGATTGGAAGTTTGCTAAAGTGTTCCCATGTTAGAGGCTTTATGGAACTTAATTTATTTTCTATGAAAATTTAAATATTAATGTTTGGCCATATTAGAGGAAAATCCTGAAACTCTATGGCTTTGAGGAACCCCAGAGGATTAGTACCGTGTTTCCCCAAAAATAAGACCTACCCATAAAATAAGCCCTAGCAGGATTTCTAAGCATTTTCACAATATAAGCCCTACCCCGAAAATAAGACCTAGTGATGGCCGTGGCTACACAGCGTATCTGCACAACCCATGCATTTCGTCACAGAGCGGTAAAGAAGACAAGCAGCCCTTCTCATCTGCCCCATGAGAGCTCTATTGCTCGACATGAGAGATTGGGGCCAATGGTTCTAAAGGAAATAGAGTCACAAGAAATTCAGGATGGAATTCGGGGTTTGGAGAGTTATGACGATTTTCCAGAAGTAGACGACTTAACTATATTTGAATCAATGTAGATTGTTGTACTGTACTTAAAAAAAAATAACACATCCCCTGGAAATAAGCCCTAGGGTGTCTTCTTGAGGAAAAACAAATATAAGACCCTGTCTTATTTTTGGGGAAACACGGTAGCTTAACTTGTGATGCTGATTGTGGATGATACGTTTCCATGTGGCCGTTGGAGCTGATAACCCTATGTATTCTGCAGGAGGGCAGTGGCTCAGCGATGCCCATCACCTCCCATGATCAATCTGATCTCCGTTGGGGGACAACACCAAGGTAACTTTGACCTCTTCATCTCCTTTTTCTCTATTCTAACACACAAAATTACTTGATTTTTAAAAATCTAGCAGCTTTCTTTGTATAAGATATCAGCCATCCTTGCAAGATCTTGTTTCTCTAGCTTATAACAAACTAGCCAACGCTGATGAAGACCTAGGAAGAGACTTAGGATTCCAGAAGCCTGGAACGCAGTGAATCATTAGGTTGCCATGTACTCCTCTCCAGTTTAATTGATGTGATTTCATGGAGGTGAGATGGTTACACCCACATGGCAGGTGGTGGCTGAGGAGTTAGGAAAACCTAATGACCTTTCCTGTTTTCTGACATTGGTTATATCCTGTTGAATTTAGGCTTAGGCAAAAAATAGTGTGTAAGCTCTTTTGTCTATAAATTTAACATTAGAGATTAAACCCTTTGAGAAACAGCAGGTTTTCTATTTAGACAGAATTACATATTTTGGGGGAAGGATAAATCTTTGGAATAGAATTTTATCTCTATTGTGATGGATATAGCTATTAGCCAGTGTAATGTAGGAGCAGAAGAATTTCCTTTGTAATCAGAAAACTTAGATTCACCAATTAACTGTTTCTCGTGAGCAAGTAATTTGGTGTCCTGGGTCCCTTGCACAGATAGAGGAAACTAAAATATGGCCCTGCCTATCCTGTGGAAATTTTTCAGAGGATGAAATGAAATTATAGGCAGGAAAATACTTTTATTTATTTATTTATTTATTTTTGAGACAGAGTCTCACTTTGTTGTCCACACTAGAGTGAGTGCCATGGCGCCAGCCTAGCTCACAGCAACCTCAAACTCCTGGGCTCAAGCAATCCTGCTGCCTCAGCCTCCCGAGTAGCTAGGACTACAGGCATGCACCACCATGCCCAGCTAATTTTTTCTATATATATATTAGTTGGCCAATTAATTTCTTTCTACTTTATAGTAGAGATGGGGTCTCGCTCTTGTTCAGGCTGGTTTCGAACTCCTGACCTCGAGCAATCCGCCCTCCTTGGTCTCCTAGAGTGCTAGGATTACAGGCGTGAGCCACCACGCCCGGCCAGGAAAATACTTTTAAAAAGTACAAGTGTTATACAAACACAAGTTGGTATAAACAGCTTTATTATTCATTCATTCTGTAAATATTTATTGAAAACCTACTATGTGCCGGGAACAAGACATACAAGGTCCCTGCCTTCATGAAACTTCCATTTGGTGGTGAAAGAATTGACATGAAACAAGTAAACAAAAAACTAAATACAGATAGTCGTAACTATGATAAAGAAAAAAAATTCCAGATGCAATGGCACGTGTCTGTAGTTCCAGCTACTCAGTTGGCTGAGCCAGGAGGTTCACTTGAGGCCAGGCGTTCAGGCTGTAGTGAGCTATGATTACACCTGTGAATAGCCACTGCACTCCAGCCTGGGCAACGTAGCAAGACTCAGACTCTTAAAAACAAAAATAAAAAATTAATCAGGATATTGTTTGAGGGACAGACTAGTGGTTGTAGTGGTTAAAGGTGTGGGCTCTGGAGCCAGACTGCCTGTGTTCGAATCCTGGCTCCATCCCTTATTGTTTAACCTCGGACAAGGTATTTAACCTTCCTGTTTTAAAGTTTTCTATCAGGCATACAGGTCAAGTAATAATATCTACTCCACAGGGTGGTTGTGAGGATTAAATTAATTATTGCCAGTGTATGCTTAGAACTGTGCCTGGGACTCAGAATAGTATTACTGATGAGGATGCAGAGGATGAAGTATAACTGGGAGAGGGGGAGGAAAGGGGTATGGGCACTGTTTGAAAAAGGTAGTAAGATAAGGACTTCCCTCCCCTAAGAGGGTAGAGATGGGAGTGGGTCTAGCCCTGTGGCCCAGTATGCAAAGGTGGAGCCCGCACCTCCCCAGGGGTGGGCAGGTGCATATGTCCTCAGGCAGAAGAGAGTGTGGGAGCAGCAGGAGGAAGATGGTTGTAGGATTAGTTGAAAAGCTTTATTTTCACGAGAAGTAAATGAATGAGGTCAGGGTTTGGTCCTATTCATTTTGTTTCTCACAGTGCCTTGCACACAGTAGGTATTCAGTACATGGCGATTGCAGGAATGGGTATTTGTCCTCTGCTCCAGGCGTGTTTGGACTCCCTCGATGCCCAGGAGAGAGCTCTCACATCTGTGACTTCATCAGAAAAACGCTGAATGCTGGGGCTTATTCCAAAGCTGTTCAAGAACGGTAAGTATGGTTAGCTTAAAAGGATACAGACCATTTCTATATCTGCATGAAAATGTCATGCAGACTTTCAGGTTAACAGTGATTCCAGGAGTAGTTGTTAGTAATATTCAAATGAGATAATTTTTGGTACTATCTGCTCAATTTTATTGTAAACCTAAAACTGCTCTAAAAAGTCTATTAATTAAAAAAAAAAAGAAAGAAAACAAGGACATTTTTCTACATAGGAAGAATGTAATTATAACATAATAAATTTCCATCCTTTAAAAAACAAGCCTTTAGAAAGTACTAAACTCAAGGAATTACTGTTAATATTTAGAGGACAGATTATATTGTCATGAATGAGTCGTCACTCCTACATCAGTGTCCCCAACTACTCAAATGTATTTCATTATTTAAAAATATACAGAATTACTTTTGGAGTGTGTGCTTGTTCAGTTGTTTCCAAATTTAATTATACATCAGAACCATCGGGAAATTCATTGAAAATGGATTCCAGGGCCCTATCCTTAGAAGTTCTGATTCAGTAGGTCTGGAGTATTCTAGGTGATAGCTGGGGTTTGGGATCAACTGATATGGTTATGGTATCTATCCTGTGGGTTTTCAAGTGTATCATTCATGTCAGATAACAACCCTTCATTACGACCATCCTTGAAGCCATTTCCCAAGGTACAGCCTACTGAATGACTCACATATTGGGACAATCGACAGCTACCTGTGTTTTCACTTCCTACCCATTGGCTATACGTACAGCTACAAAGCTGTTTTGGGTCAATAGTGCCACCTGATGGTCATTATAGAAAACTAAGGTACTCTATATCGCCACCTCCTTTTTTTTACCCTGTGGCAATTCACACCACATCCAGCTTTACCCTTTGCTTGGTTTGCCTAGTAATAATTTGCATATTCTCTGTTCTCATGGATATACACGGTGTGTTAAACTTCATTATTTATTCTTTATTCTCGTAACTCTTGCCCAGATGCCTCAAAAAATCCCATTCTTTTCTTTTTTTGTATTTCTTTGTTCTGTGACCCAAAATACAACCCTTGGCAATCAGAATTATGTCAGTGATCATAAATGAGCAGTCAGTAGGGGGTGAGAAGGGACACATACACTGAGTAAAAGTGGTAGGTTGATATGTTTATCTTCACTTTCTCCTTAAACTTTAATAAAGTAGTGGCAAAAGAATAAAAAGGGATAAGCCCACAAGGGTAAAGGGAACAGGAGAGGCAATAAGAGATGGTAAATGATGTCAACGTGTTTTTGAAAGAGCAGATGAATGAGTGTGAGAATTATTTTAGCAGAGCAGAAAAAGTTGAAACATGTATGTTCGTAGAAGGATACATTGCCAAAAAGGGAATAGGTTCATTTTTTGCAGTTACAGAAAGGCTCAGGAATTAGAGATATAAGGTACTTTGGGACGTACTTTTGGGTGAGGCTGAGAACAAGGCTTTTTGTTAAAAATCTTTAGAAGGAATGATCAGACTTCCCAATTCCCTCACATGCACATCCCAGTGATGACTCTTCCCCACCCTGATAGGAGAAGAAAAGTTTATTCTCTGGGGCAGTTTAACTAGAGAAGCACCAGACCTAGAGATAACACGCATAGGATGGTGGTGAGCTGCCATACTGAAAACACATCCCCTTTTTTCCCTTTCCACTCATAGAAGCTAGGCAGAAGTTTGAGGGAGCCCTATCTGGAAAAAACGGACCAAGAAAAAATACCTATACATTGATGTTTTGGAATCCTTCAGCAAGTTAGGACTCCTCCAGACTTTCATACCTTGAGCTCTAGATAAGCACCCGTGGATAAGCTCTGCTCTCTTGTGAAGAGTTTCCAGACAGCCTTGTAGGACCTAATAGAAGTGTGAGCATTGAGTCAAGTCAGACTCAATGTCTAAGGACAGTATCCAACATGAAAGACAGACCAAAACCAACAAAAAATAAAAAGGAACTTGGGAAAGACAGATGGCAATTCAAAGAGCAGAAGAAAACTTTGTTTTTAAAGGCCTGTAGTTATTATCTTTGGAAAGACGAAAAGAGATTGCTTCCAAGACACTAGAACAGTTCAGATTAAATCAACAATCAGAATAGGGTAGAGTTCTTGGAAATTAAAAAATATGTAACCAAAATAAAAAATTTATTGGAGATAAGGGAATATAAAGTTGAGGAAATCTCTAGAAATTTGAATAAATATTCAAAGAGGTAGAAAAAGGGAAAAGAGATAAAAATTAGAGAAGCAGTTTAAGAAGTCTAGTATCTAACTAACAGAAGTTTTGAAAAGAGAACAGAGGAAAGGGTGTATTGGGATTATCAAGGAAGTAATGTAAGTACATTTCTCAGAACTACAGGACATGAGTTTCCAGATTGAAAGTGCTCACGAAGTAGCCAGGGCAAGGACTGAAAAAAGACCCACACTGAGGTCTGTTGCTGTGAAATCCCAGGATACCAGGGATGGAGAGTAGATCCCAGTGACACTGCACACGCAGGGGCGGAATCCTGTGGCAGTGGACTCCCTCACAGCACCACGACTAGCTGGAAGAAAAGAAAAAGACCTTCCATACCCTCTTGCTAGGGGGTTGCTGAAGAGCCTCAGTTCCACCACTGTCTAGCGGTGTGGCTCTGGGTGTCTCTGACCCTCATTTTCTTTCTTTTTTTTTTTAAGAGGCAGAGTCTTACTCTGTCACCCTGGCAGTGGCATCATCACAGCTCACTGCAACCTTCAACTCCTGGGCTCAAGCAATCCTCTTGCCTCAGCCTCCTGAGCATCTGGGACTACAAGTGAACACCACAACACCTAGCTAATTTTAAAAATTTTTGTGGGGACAGGGTTGTGCTATGTTGCCCAGGCTGGTCTTAAACTCCTGGCCTCGAATGATCTTCCTGCCTCATCCTCCTAAAGTGCTGAGATTACAGGTGTGAGCCACTGTGCCCAGTGAGCCTCCTTTTCACTATCTCTAACATGAACTTAATAGTTGTACTTTTGTGCAGGGCTGTTGTGAGGATTAAACAATTTTGGAAGAAAGCATTTAGTGCAGTGCTCAGTTCATATTAAGTGTAGGCAGGTTTGAGCTGTTTTCACGGCTTTTAAAATATTCAACTTTAGTTTTTTGTTTCCTTCATAAGTATTGTAATGGTTTTGTTTCCTCTTTTAGTTGCATTTATAAAGTATTTCATCAAATATTGTGCTACTGCTATTTTCCAGGCCTTATTAGAGGTTTCCCAGATAGATGAAGAACAAGACAATTGATGTCCCTGCTCTCACAAAGTAGCATACTAGCGGGGAGAGGTGTCTCCGGGTAAATAGTTGTACTGGATAATCTCTAACAGTGATAAAGCCATGACTGAAATGAGCAAGACACAGTGGTTGAGGGTAATGGAGAGGGTTCCTATTTTGCACAGAATGGTTTTGTTATTTTAGTTTTTAAGAGTCAGGGTCTTAGGCCGGGCGCTGTGGCTCACGCCTGTAATCCTAGCTCTTGGGAGGCCGAGGCGGGCGGATTGCTCAAGGTCAGGAGTTCAAAACCAGCCTGAGCAAGAGCGAGACCCCGTCTCTACTATAAATAGAAAGAAATTAATTGGCCAACTGATATATATATAAAAAATTAGCCGGGCATAGTGGCGCATGCCTGTAGTCCCAGCTACTCGGGAGGCTGAGGCAGAAGGATCACTGGAGCCCAGGAGTTTGAGGTTGCTGTGAGCTAGGCTGATGCCACGGCACTCACTCTAGCCTGGACAACAAAGCGAGACTCTGTCTCAAAAAAAAAAAAAAAAAGAGTCAGGGTCTTTCTCTATTGCCTAGGCTGGAGTGCAGTGGCATGATCATAGCTCACTGTAACCTTGAACCTTTGGGCTCAAGTGATCTTCCTGCCTCAGCCTCTTGAGCAGCTGGGACTACAGGTGTGTGCCACCACACCAAGATAATTTTTTTGTTTATTGTAGAGGCAGGGTCTGGCTCTGTTGCCCAGCCTGGTCTCAGAATCCTGGTTTGAAGTGATCCTCCCACCTTGCCCTTCCAAAATGCTCGGATTACAGATGTGAGTCACCGCATCTCGCCCCAGAATGGTTTTTGAAGATGAGGTAGTTAAACTGGGATCTGAAGGATGAGATGAAGGAGCATGGAAGGAGCTAAGGCAAGAGCAGTCAGGCAGAGGGACAGCAGACACAGGCCCTGAGGCTGGGACAAGCTTGGCTTGTTTCTGGGCCAGGGTGACCAGACTTGAGTGACAGATGGGGGCAGGTAGACAGAAAAGTGAGGACTGCCATGATGCAAGGGTGTGTAGGCCACGTAAATAGTTGGGATTTTATTCTAAGCTTCATGGGAGGTTTTAAGCAGGGGAATAACATGGCCCGATTTGTGTGTTTGGAAAATGTTTGCTGCATTGTGGACAGTGGACTGTAAGGGCTGTGGCAGTGGACTAGGTGAAGGGGTGGTGGCTGAGACACTAGCGGGGCCACGGTGAGATGCACAGAAGAGGAATGACTGGAGATGTTTCATAACATTGTAGAGGAACTAGGCTTGTGAGCCAGATACAGCTCACCATTTATAACAGTTTCCATGGGAAAATGCATTTTCAGTTCTCAATAGCTTGTTTACAGATTAACTCTTAGGATACCTTTCTAATTTTGTAGGATGTTTTGCTTTTTCTTTTTAAAATTTCTTTGTATAGGTAACATCTCATTTTGACAGATGGCCAGTAGGAGACTTGAAGAGGCAGGTAGTCCAAGGGAGTGGTTGAAAGGGGGATGTGGGAGCTTAGATGGCATCTTCTTCTGTTATAAGGCTGTTTCATGTACATTGAAAATCTGTTTAGTGTAGCCACATTCAATTATCTTAGCTAAATCTTCTGGACAACTTGCTGCAGCTTCTACATCAGCACTTGCTATTTCACCTTGCACTTTTATGTTATGGAGATGGCTTCATTCCTTAAACCTCATGAACTTCTGTTAGCTTCAAAATTTTCTTTTTCAGCGTCCTTCCCTCTCTCAGCCTTCATAGAAT